AGTTTATTTAATACGGACAATGCTATTCATTTAAGGCAAACCTCTGAGTTACATGTATACGGACAATGCCAATCAAATCGGGGCAAATTCTGAGTTTAATGAATACGGACGACGCCATTCAATTCATAGCACACTGTTGAGTAATATGAACACGAACGATGCCATTCAATTCAGGGCAAATTCCTGAGTTATATGAATAGGGACATTGCCATTCAAATCAGGGCAATCGCCTTAAAAAAATGATGACGGATAATGCCATTCACATACGGGCAGTCTCCTGAGTTAAATGAATACGGACGATGCCATTCAAATCAGGGCAAAACTTGAGTTAAATTTATACGGGCGATGCCAATCTTATCAGGGCAAAATCCTTAGTTAATTGGATACAGACGTAGCCATTCATATCAGAGCAAATTCCTGATTTAAATGAATACGAATGATGCCAATCTTATTGGGGCAAACACTTGAGTTGAATGAAAAGGGACAACGCCGTTCTTATCAGGGCAACAATTGAGTAAATTGAATACGTACGATGCCAATCATATCAGGGCAAGCACTTGAGTTGAATGAATACGGACGATGTCATTCAATTCAGGGCTACCACCTGATATAAATTTACACGGACGATGACATTCATATCAGGGCAAACTCCTGAGTTAAATTATTACGGTTGACGACATTCAGAGAAGGGCAAATTTTTGAGTTTATTTAATACGGACAATGCTATTCATTTCAAGGCAAACCTCTGAGTTGAAGGAATACGGACGACGCCATTCAAATCAGGGCAATCGCCCTAAACAAATGATGACGGACAATTCCAATCAAATCGGGGCAAATTTTGAGTTGAATGAATACGGACGACGCCATTCAAATCACAGCACGCTCTTGAGTTATATGAATAAGGACAATGCCATTCATATTAGGGCAGTCTCCTGAGTTAAATGAATACGGACGATGCCATTCAATTCAGGGCAAAAACTTGAGTTTAATTTATACGGGCGATGCCAACCTCATCAGGGAAAAATCCTTAGTTAAATGAATACAGACAATGCCATTCAGATCAGGGCAAACTCCTGAGTTAAATGAATACGGACGATGACATTCAAATCAGGGCAAACTCCTGAGTTAAATGAATGCGGACGATGACATTCATATCAGGGCAAACTCCTGAGTTAAATTATTACGGTTGATGACATTCAGAGAAGGGCAAACTCCTGAGTTTATTTAATACGGACAATGCTATTCATTTCAAGGTAAACCTCTGAGTTGAATGAATATGGACGACGCCATTCAAATCACAGCACGCTCTTGAGTTATATGAATAGGGACAATGCCATTCATATTAGGGCAGTCTCCTGAGTTAAATGAATACGGACGATGCCATTCAATTCAGGGCAAAAACTTGAGTTTAATTTATACGGGCGATGCCAACCTCATCAGGGAAAAATCCTTAGTTAAATGAATACAGACAATGCCATTCAGATCAGGGCAAACTCCTGAGTTAAATGAATACGGACAATGCCATTCAGATCAGGGCAAACTCCTGAGTTAAATGAATACGGACGATGACATTCATATCAGGGCAAACTCCTGAGTTAAATGAATACGGACGATGACATTCATATCAGGGCAAACTCCTGAGTTAAATTATTACGGTTGATGACATTCAGAGAAGGGCAAACTCCTGAGTTTATTTAATACGGACATTGCTATTCATTTCAAGGCAAACTTCTGAGTTGAAGGAATACGGACAATGCTATTCAAATCAGGGCAAAAACTTGAGTTAAATTTATACGGGCCAATCTCATCAGGGAAAAATCCTGAGTTAAGTGAATATGGACGATGACATTCATATCAGGGCAAACTCCTGAGTTAAATGAATACGGACGATGACATTCATATCAGGGCAAACTCCTGAGTTAAATTATTACGGTTGATGACATTCAGAGAAGGGCAAACTCCTGAGTTTATTTAATACGGACAATGCTATTCATTTCAAGGTAAACCTCTGAGTTGAATGAATACGGACGACGCCATTCAAATCACAGCACACTCTTGATTTATATGAATAGGGACAACGCCATTCAAATCAGGGCAATCGCCCTAAACAAATGATGACGGATAATGCCATTCATATCAGGGCAGTCTCCTGAGTTAAATGAATACGGACGATGCCATTCATATCAGGGCAAAATCCTGACTAAAAGGAAAACAGACAATGCCATTCAGATCAGGGCAAACTCCTGAGTTATATGAATGCGGGCGATGCCAATCTTATCAGGGCAAAATGCTGAGTTATTGAATACAGACTTGGCCATTCATATCAGAGCAAACTCCTGATTTAAATGAAAACGGACGATGTCATTCAAATCAGGGCAAACTCCCGAGCTAAGTTAATACGGTTGATGCCATTCATGTAAGGGCAAATTCCTGAGTTAATTGAATACGGAAACTTCTATTCAAATCAAGGCAAAATCCTGAGTTTCATGTATACGTACAATTCCATTCATATCAGCGTAAAGTCTTTTGTAAAATTTTGTTTAAAATACTCGGAGGAACTACTCTAAGACCTGCAAGAAAAAGTTTTTTGTCCCCGTAAGCAATGACAAGTTATTATTTTGATATATTTTTTAGACTGCCGGAACTAACTTGAGAAAAAAAAACTGTGAGCATGTGTATGCAGTAATTTTCTTCGAAAGTTTTTTTATGTTTTAAAGCAGGCACTAAATTTTGAAGTAAATTAGATTGAGTTTTGTTTTTCTTCTCATACTTTCTATAGACAGGAAACGAAGAATGATTTCAGAGAAATCACTCGATAAGCGGCAATGCCGTCTGATGTTCTCTCGAATGAATTAATACTTAAAGATAAAAATAAGTTTTTTACTTTAACACCCAAAGACGAGTTTGTAGGATCCTTACTAAACAAAATCATGCATTTGTTAATTTGCTTTTGGTTGCAACTCTATTCTATTAGATTAAAAATGTAGCGCATTGTACTTTGCCAAAAACGTGGGGTGAAATCTTCAGACTAAAGGGCAGGGTTGCAATGTGTAAAACATGTTTTGTTAAAAACATGCTTAAATTACGTTTAGCACAGTGTTTAAATAACTGCCCCTGGCAGATTTTTTGTGTGCTTTGACTAACTGAACTGTATTCGTCGAAAAATCTCCTGAACGAGTTATCAAACGACGCGAATGGCTCGAAAGTGCCGAGAAACGGTAAAAATCTTCTAATCTGGATTCTTGAATTGCCGCGTTTTTTTGCATCCGACTTTTCCGGAGTCGATCCTATTGAAAATGAAATGAAAAGAGCACTCAACTTGGAAAATTATGGCGCACAGACTGCATATTTTTTCATTGTTTTTTTTCTGTTAAAAAATTTTTGTAAAATGTTTAAAACATTTTTTTACTCACAACGTGTTTTTTGCAACCCTCCTAAGGAGGATTTAGGGCATTTATAGTTTTGCCATGACCCGAGCAGGCTTTTATCAGAATTATTTGGATCTTTCAAATAATAGTAATTAACATTTTTATCATCAGTAAGTTAGAGAACTGATCGGAATTAAACCCTAAATCAAACCCTAATTTTGTTTAGAGAACTGATCGGAATTAGACCCTAGTTTTACATTTTTTATGAGCTTGGAAATTCGAGTTGTTCGATCTCAAAAAAATCAACAAAATTTTTGGAAAGATACACTGGGATGGCTTAAATTAAAAATCGATGAAAAGTTTTGAAGAAAAGCGTTCAGTCAGCAAAAACTTCCGATTGACAAAAAGTTTTAAAGAAAATTTTTCGAGAAAAATTATCCCATATGTACGCTCCTGTTATATTGCCTAATGCGATAGGGTGCGCGCGAAAGTTCATGGCAGACTGAACATAGCCTCTGTGGCTCCGCAAATTTATCTAGAGTCCCCTTCGTTCCCAAAGTATCTCTGGTATCTGCTGGGTTGACCTCCATAGAACAAAATGCTACTCATACAATTCAAAAAATTATGTAAATAATCCATAATTGAAAAAATAAAAAAAATTTTGTCAAATAAATGTTTATCATACAATTTCTATATGAGTTAGTTGTATATGACTAGAAGTGTTTTGATGGAGACGACAAAATTTTTTGAAAAAGTTGAAAAAGTACTTCCGAAAATGTCCAAAAAAAGTTTGTCAACGAATTTTGTACTCAAACCAATATTTCCGAAATTTTTTTTGCATGCAAATATCATATTTTTGTGCGCATAACGCTTAGTCTTAGGTAAACAAAAGTTGGGTTCACTCCGTTTCGTAGAATAACTTTTTTGAAAAAATCTCAATTTGGTTGAATGACATATTTATGCATGCTTTGACCAATACCTGATTAATCTAACTTTCAAATATGAAAAGATTTCATCTTTGATTTAACTTTTCATCTTTGATCTCTCAGCATATCATTTATGTAAGACAACTTGAAGATTATTCAGGCTTTTTCAATTGCATTGTACATGCAAGACGCTCAAACCCTTGGTGAATACCAAGGTCTTTGTCACAAGAGTTGTGAGAAATTTTAGAAAAAAAATCACTTTTTAGTTTATGGAAAAACTCTAGTCAGTTTCTAATCAGTTTCCATATATGAATCAGTAATCATAGACCTTTCATTCAGTTTTTTTTTATCAAATTGTTTGAAAAGGGGGTACTAGTTTAATTGTTTGGTCCCTCAAAGCTGCTGTGGTCCCTAATAAAAACCGAGGTACAGTATGTGACTAATTCTAGCAGTAAGCATTTTTATTTCTCTTTATTTTTTTTAGAAAATAGTTTTGTCATCTAAACTAGTTTTGTCACGGGAGTAAACAAGTAAACAAGTACCTAGAAAAGTGTATGATCAGCATTTTTGCATATACGATAATTGTATATTTGGAATTTTTGGTCAATCCGGGGGCTAAAAAACTGAATGTCTCAAATTCCTTGTCAAACGTGTGTCGCTGGAGCAAAAACCAAAGCTAAGCTAAAAATCTGCAGGCTATTATTTTATTGTGTGAAACCAAAGCAGTAAGAGTCAGTGGTTAGTTGTCTCAAGATCATGACATAATTAGCTTGAACTTTACCATAGATTTTTGAGTTTAATAAATTTTGGTCACAATCATTAGGTTTTAAAAATGGTTTGAATGGTGGCTGATTTCTGTTTTTTTTTCGTCTCTGCTGATTCACGATTCGGCTATGCACTGCCTTGAGGATGAAAATGGCATGAAGTAGAGACATTGTAGCTTGTCACAGCAGTCGCCTGAGCTGCGGCAGGATGAGCGTAATTTGCCGCATGTTTTCGTAGCCTAAAAACAAACAGACGACCCCCAAGCTTCTTTTAGTAATAATTATAAGATGCTATGTGAAATAATATTGTCGCGTCTCACCTATTAATTTTCAGGGTTTTAGAACCTAAGCACATCAGCAGCCATAAAACGTTGTTCACGTGTTTTTTTTTTCAATTCCAAGGTTCTCACCCGTAAGAGCCGTGTTTTTGATGAACAAGTTTAAATTAAAATAGACTCCAATAACGTGAATGTTGCTCCTATCTGAAACGGAGAAACCGCAAAAAAACACGTGAGCAAAATTTCTTTTTTTTCTAATATGATTGCGTCTTGGTTTATCAAAACCCAAAAAAGGTCCTGTCACGTGACATAGAAATTGTCATTTTGAGTTTTTCAGGCAATCCCAACAACAGAGATAAACAACAGAGATAAACAGTCCAAACTTTGACAAAGGATATATGGAACCATTTTGAAAAATATGACCGGATGAAAAACCTTAAGAAATAGTTTTGAATGAAATTTATGGCCATTTCATCAGAGGGCGTCAGAGAAGTGCTATTAGTTCCAAAATTTCTGTAACAAAAAGAAGCAGTTTAAAATTTTGAAGTTAAAAGTAATTGTAAGAAAACTAAGAATCTAAGGTACGCCCTCATTTATTTTTCTATTTATATAAAAGAATAGACCAAAATTGACTGGAAATTCAACAATTTGCTTAGCAAAATGCCTAAGTCTAAGTCAAATTTTATGTAGTTTCTGACTAGCTTTTGTATTCTTTTCAAAGATAAAAGAAACCTCTTTGACACCTAGCTTAGGTCCTTAGCTTTCAAACTAAACTTTTTAATCCAAAGTTTCAAACGGCTTCAGCATTACGAGGCCAAACTGTGCACTAGATAGGCGCACAATTTTGTGTCTGTATGTTCCTGGATTCCAGAGACAATTCTATAAACATGTTAAAATTTTGTCGGAACGATCAAAGGAAAGTAGAGAAAAAAAGAAAAACATAGGGAGCGTCCTTGTTGCGGAATCCGCTTAAAATGCAAAAAATGCACAGTTTGGCCTCGTAATGAGCAGTTTAAGGAAATTTTTGGCACTGAGAACACCCTCCGATTGAAAATCAAACAACGCCCTGAAAACAATACTTAAAAACTTTTCGTCCGGATTGTTTTAAAAACAGTTTCACCCCTCATATATCAAAATTTCAACAATTAATCTTTTTGAATTGTTAAAAAAACGACGTGAACGGAAAAAATATTCAGTCTGTTGCATGAAAATTAAATTCCAGCCTGAAAATAAATTTTTATTCAGATGCTATTATAATACTCAGATATTATACTTTCGAAAAACTCTTAATACAATTATTAAACACGACAACCATTTTAAGAATCTTGAATGAGAGAATGAAATGGTAAAGATTTGCAAAACTTGTAAGGTAGTCCATATAAAGCACTCAGTGTCTCAGGGTTCTTGTGCACTCATGTGTTTAATGCAAGAATTCATAAAAACCCCTGAGGGACTGAGTGCTTTAAATGGGCTATTTCTTTCAATACATTGCCTCTCTCAATCTCGATCGAAAAAACCAGCTTTGCCATCTTTGTCAATTGTCAGATCCATCTTTGACCATCTTTGTCAATTGTCAGATTGACAAACTTTATCGTAAACTTTATCGACTTTTTTACCTGATTCTTTCTTGGAAACTTTATATACTTTTTTACCTGATTCTTTCTTGGAAACTTTATATACTTTTTTACCTGATTCTTTCTTGGAAACTTTATATACTTTTTTCTACCTGATTCTTTCTTTGAAAACTCAGCTGTTAAAGAAATCACTGACCTTCATTTTTACACGAAAACATTTTTACACGAAAAAATTTTTACACGAAAGTTTTATATACATATAAAAACGGAAAAAAACACACCTCATTTGTGAACCAAAAGAGTCGCTTGTCATGAACACTGTCACTTTTTGGAAGATTGTTCGTCTGCATTGCTTCGCCACTGCTGAACGCTGATTGAGTACGCTGATTGAGAACAATTCGCGACAACACTAGCACTGAATCAGAAAAGCTTTTACTTGAAACAGGCAGATTTTGAGAAAAAAATAAGGTCGAAAATTTTATGAAGAAAAGTATAGCTATAATTAATAAATTTTATATCAAGCAAAGTTTCAATGTATAGATATTTAAACGCAATTCTGCCCCTTTTCAATGTTTTGGTTCAGCTATTAAGAAGGAATTGAAATCCTAATTGCTCTTTGGTCCTTAATTCAACAATTCAGTTTTTGAAATTTACATGCAAATAGTATCAAGACTAATTATATTTTTGAGCCTATGACCAATCTAAGAACTGATTTTTGAAAGGCAGTTTTGTAATTCAAAGTCGACGCATATAGTTCAGATTTTTTTGTAGATTGCACTGACTTTTTTAAAAAATGACCTAAAGTTTGTTCATTATATTTTTTGCGGTTTGACTTTTAATTTCGTTTCAAGTTTACTTCTTTTCATTTGTGCAAGCAAGGCAAATTCCACGGCAAATCCAACAGTAAAAATGTAAGGTCATGAAAAACGTTCAGTTCCTACCTTCAAAACTGGGGTGTAGTTTTCATATTTACCAGCGGAATGGAAAGTTCATCTAACGATCCAGTTTTCTCAGATCAAATCTATCTTATCAAAAAGTGTCAGTCATATATTATTTTGTCTGAAAGTTCACAGTTTGAAGTTTTTCCCTAAGTTTAAGTCGGTTTCTTTTGTTTCCTTGCCTTCCTTGATTTTTTTTTCCATTTTTCTGTTCGCTATACTTTCTAATTTATGGCAGAAAGATGACAGGTGGGGGGGGGCAGCATGGATCTGAATTTGTTATTTTTGGGGTTGAATTTAAGAAAAAACGAAATTCTAATGAAATTTTTTTCTGCCCACTCAAAAAAAGAAGGACTTAATTCTCCGCAATATATAATTTACGAAATCGATAATCATTTGTTGTGACATCTCATTGACGATGGAAGGTACAGGCGTAAAGTATATGTGATGCATACTTTATGTCTACCCATAGCCAGCAGATAACTTGAAAATTGATTTGAAAAACTTAAATTTTGGAAATCAAATTTTGTTTTCACGACAGTTTTCTAACTCAGATGATTTATGACAACATATTTTGCATAAAAAAGGAACAATAGATGGGATAGAGTCTTTCGCCACCACTAGGAAAAGGTTTTTAAGTTTATCGAACCGAACAAAAAAAAACTATCTTATTTCCTTACTTTTCGAAAGAGATGGTTGTCGCAGAAACTAGAAAAATTTAAATGATTTTATTTTCTTGACAAGCTCGCGACCTTAAAATTGACATTATCAGCAATTAGATTTAGGGAATAGTTATAACATTTTTAGGAACAGACTTCATGTAAAAATGCTATGTATTAGATCCCAATTTCCAAGAAATTAATTATCCCGGAAGTTATTTACAAAAATGAACTTTTCAGTTGAGGTTTTTTCAATATTCGGTAGTAATATCTTATTATCTGATAGTATAGTTTAAAAATTTGACCCCCATTAATTAGTAGGTCTGGCTTTAAGTTGTACTAACAAATCTTACTAAAATTTAATTGATTTTCTAGTGTTGTAAGAAGAGTTTTAATCGTAAAGTTACAAACAAGACGGGAGTTTGGAAAAGCTACTCGAATATTGAAAAAAAATTCAGCTCATGATGTTTTTAATGAATGATCGGAAATGCTATCTTATGTTTCTTGAAGTAATTTTTTCGTAACACGTTCTTTTGTAAGACGAGAGTTTGATATTAATAGTTATTGACGTCAAAGGTGCCTTCAGAAAATTTAGATTTTTTCTTTTTCTCTTTAATTTCAGTCAATCGACTTTTTTCTCAATCATTTAGTAAATAGTGACTGTAGTGAATTTTTGGATAATCGACCGGAATTGGATGTATTAAAGAAAGTAAAACTAAAGTGAGACCCTTTGGGTGGTCAGGTGGTTGAATATCCCAGAAGAACAAATAAGGTCTCCCCACCCCCCACCCCCTCCAAGTCGTCCATTTTGGTCGAACGCCTGAGAGGGGGTCATTTGTCCTCTGTTAAACCCGCTCATGAATGGGGACCTTTATTAGGGCAAATGGTCAAATTTAAATCCTTCTCTGTCCCTGTCTCGTATTAAGGGCGGAGATTCTTTTGTAACAACACGGATTATGGTTGCTTTGTCTGTTCAAATCTCCATATTTCAAGTGCATATTGTCGGAAAACGATATTTGAAAAGACTTACCAACAAAATGACGATAGCTCGTGAATTTCATTTTAATTTTTTAAATATTTTTTGCTTTCTTTAAGAGTCTGCTTCAGTTTAATTTCTTATATCCACTAAAAACACAATAATTGATATACACAACAATTGTGAAGTTGAGAAGCAAGCCATCGGAAATGAATTCAAATAACTTACCTCAACACTTTTTGATTATTTGTTGAAAGAGCAGTTAATGCACCTTTTAACAGTCGCCTTATTAGTAAACTACGTCATCAATTAAAACTTTATAAAGGAACAAGTTGAGCTATAAATTTCCTTTTGTCGAAATATCTTTTAAAAGCATTTTTTGTTGGAATTCAAGTTACTGAAAATGTCAACTTCCAAATTGCAGTTGATGTATCTGATAAATTATAAAAGGCCCTATTGATTCACTATAGGTGAAAGTAAGTTAACAGTTATATAAAAAGTTATTTACAATTAAGTAACTTTTCGTAGGAGATTTCTTTTCAAACCTATTACAATGATTCGCCAATAGATTTTTGGCAGCTGTCAGAAAAGAAAGATGTATTGAAAATGTTTAATAAAATTGCAGACGGCTTTTAAAATTCCCTGGTAATTAAGAAACTTGAAAACATTAATCAAAGCGGTCATCGTAGTTTCACAAATTTTCCTTCAGGTTGCAAAAAAATGAGAAAAAGATTAAATTATAAAAAAAATCAATTCATTCAAGCCTTGAATTTTGTTTATGCCTTGAGTTTTGATATGGCCAAAAGCTCCTGAATTGTTGCCAAGACGTCTATAAACATTATTCACAGAAAAACTTTTCTGAAGTAATCGAAATGTATAATTCCTTACGTTCAGATAAAAAACTGATTCTCATATTTGCACTTTTTCAAATTTCAGATTATGAATTGTGTGTATTAATTTGCTATATTGTGTACACATACAATTTTTTTCAACTTTTGGCGGCTGAAAAACTTTGTTGAATTATTAAAGGGTATTAAAACGCCCTCTTTGTTCCGACCATTGAAAATGGGGAAGAACTTTGTATTCGGGTCTGTTTTATTTTTTTTTGTTTTCCACGCAAAATCAGAAATAATTATCGAACTATGTTAACATATCACAATTTATCTTATTAGAGTCGTGATTTGAACCACACTAAAAAAATTTAAAAATTTCCCATTGTTGACAAAAACTGGTTTGAAATTTTAGATTTTTCGTCTTATTTCGAGTGAATAAAGCGAGCGAGATGCTTTATTTTAATTACTTAAAAGCTTAAAATAGTTCAAATTAAAACCTAAGATTGTTTCATTTGGGTAAAATTAGTTTACTATCAGTATTTTAGCGCCTTTTGGAATCAAAATTTTCAAAAATTCAAAAAAGTGAGTTTTTCGAAAAAAAAATCATTTTACAGTTTTCACAGTAATTTTTCTACAATTTTTTTTCAAGTGGCTTTTTTAGTATGGTTGTCGAGTATTATCAATCACCAGTTTTTCTTGTTTAGCTTCTTTTATTACGCCACGTCGAAAAAAATGACAATAGTTTGATACAACTTCGTTGTATTTTTTCAGACCACGATCGGAAAAATCTATGTTACTTATACAGTAACCAACTATCCTTGTTAAGGTTTTCACAATTTCATGGGAGGGAGCGGAAGCAATGAGCGCGGCCAAAATTCGAAAACAAACATAAAAACTTGAACCAAAATTATTTTCCATATTTTCTTAGAATGCTAAATAAATGTTAGTTTGCATTGGATTTTTTGTACATTTCTGGAGCTATCTTATGGGTAACTGGAGCTGTCTAATTGCATCTATGAATCTAGTTAACAATTGCCCCTTTTCAAGAAAGGAGACAGTTGTTAAGTAGATTAAGTTTGCAGCAATCAGGTTGCAGCTAAATTTGAATTTTAAATACAACGCTCTAGTGCTAATTTACTGCTTTTAATTACAGGTATGGTCATTCTTTAAAAGACGCCACAGGGATGGCGATTGTGAAGTAGATACTCATCTCTTTATACCTTGCTATAATGATGATCAGAACTCTAAGCTTACCGCGGATCAATTGAACAATCTCTCCCATTCCCGCTTGGGGGAGATAGATCAATAGATAGGTACTTGAGCCATGTTTATTACCACTTGAACTACATTTAATTGTATTAAACTATACGCCAGATTCTTCAACAAACGCGGAGAATCTCAAAAACTAGATTCAGAGTGAAAAAAAGGGCCAAATTAGTCGCATATTCAACTGGTTTTTTCCAGTTATCTTTGAACAAAAGTTTGCAATTACAAACTTTTTTAGGATGCTGCAGAGATTTTTTGGCAGATAAATCACACTGGTAACTTGTTTACCTCAAAAAAATTAATTTTTTTTTCAATTTTTTTTCGACACCAATATAAAAAACTTCAGTCGGCCAATTGATTGCGACCTATATACACTTCCACCACCTGCTTTTGTTTGAAAACGTCTCTTAAAGTGTTTTGCCGTTTTTGATTGGAGGAGATAGCTCAATTGGTCATCACGGGGGGATTGCTCAATTGATCCCTTACCGCAGATTTGTTTATTTCGCTCATGCCACTCTCTCCAGTGAGTTCAACAATAGGCAAAAAACATAAATTATTATTCAATCGTGTAAATTGAATGCAGCTGCTACGCCCTTTGTGAGCTAACTAATTTGGTATTGTTATATCGTTAAGCTTGTGTTATGTTTTGAATTATTCCATTGGTCATTTTCTCTTGCTATGCTCAATTTGATTCCAGTCGTCAAAATTTGCACTTCTAATCAAAAATAACAAAAAACAACCAAATCTTACCGGAATCTTACCCGGGTCGAAAAACTCACTTTATGTTTGTACTGCCTCGACCGAAAATTGGTAATTTCTACCGTATCGACCAAAGTTTGGTATGTTTTGACCGTGCTCGATCGAAATAAATATGGTTGACACAAGCAAGATATCTTTCGACCGTGCCCGTCCGAAAAATCTGCTGGACCGTGCTCGACCCAAGCATTATATGTTTCAATCGTGCTCGTCAGAATTTGGATATGTTTCGACAACATGAGTTATCCAAACGTAAACGTTCTAATTTATGTTTTTCTGGTAACATCATTTCATGCAATTTTTTCAGAATGAAAAGATAAGAGTTATTTGCAATTGAAATGCTTTGTACAGATAAACTATTTTTCAGCTAGTTTTTTTTTCGTTTCTTGGAATACTTATTTGCAAAAATGTTTAGAAAAAAATATGTTGATAATTGAAAGAAATTTTTTTTGAGTCCGCATTACCGCGGGACAATTGGTGTTTTTCGACCAAGCTCGAGGTATGTTTCGACTGTGCTCGACTGTCCTGCAGTGTGTTTCAACCTAGCTAAAGGTTTGTTTGGAGTTTGTGCCCGACCCAACAAACAACTGTCTCCGCTATTCTTTTTCGGTCGAGCACTGACATGCTCGCCTTTGAACTTTGAAAGGCGTAGCATAAAGTGAGCTCCTCGACCCGGGAACTGGTCCTTTTGTTCTCAAGCAATCTAGATTTGCTTCTAAAAACATTATTCTCATTAAACTGCAAATACTCTTCTCTACCACAATAATCAAATTTCTTTTCGTTGGATATTTTTGATTGTTCTCCCAAAGCCTTGCTTAATTATATACTTCTGCCTCGATCTTCCCTTAGTTTTAATTTTCATCTCACTAATCATGACCACTTTGATTGCTATTTTTTGCGCAAGTTCAAAATAGATGTCACGAATAGACTTAGAAAAAGAATGGCCTTTTGATTTTAACCAGCTATTTCAATCCACTATGACCTACGTTTGGGCCGAAATTCTAGCCTTTAGGACCAGGATCTTACGGATTATTATGATTATTTTGCACATTTTTGTCAAGGTTTTTTTCCTATTTTTTTTGTGGTGAAGAAAATTTAGCCAACTGGAAATGAAGCGAGTTACAAAAAGCTTAACTTTTCTAGTTATTTGCTAGCACCAATAGGGATTGATGCCATGTGTTTGGCTTGCATGAGACAGAAATTTCCAGTTTTTCAGTTATAACATTTGCACCATATTTCAAAAACCTATATCTAAAAACCATTCAGCACATCGTTCTTTGCTAAATTTTGTGGTTGATTTCTTTTTTCCTCTTCCTCGGCCTTCATATTTTATTCAATTTTATTGCGCAATTTTTTTTTTGCCTTAGGAGAAATACAATCCAGCAGTCTCCGCTGTGAAATTTTATTTAATTACTGCTAGAGACTAAAAAAATCTAAAAAAGCATCAATTTTAACAAAATCAGCAAAATATTTGCTATTTTGTTTTTTGCATTTGAAATGCAATTTTTTTGCAAGAACTTCGCTAAATGATTTCAAATATCGCAAAAAAGTAATAATAGAGTTGCATTCTAGGAATACTGGAGTTTTCATAAACTTTTGTAATTGTCAAACTGACAGGTGGCATTTTTTCCTGCTGTTTGGAACATCATTGTTGCTAAAGGTACTCTTAATGTTATTGCTAGCAATAGACTTTTCTTTGCAATGCGCAAAGATTTCTTTGCGCCAGCAACCAATTAAATGGCGACTTTTTTATTACTGTTTCAATGCATCCATGTTTGGTCAAAAACCATGTCAATATCTCAAAAAGAATTTTAATTTCACAAAATTTTGCGCAATAATTGGGATCGATAGTTTGCATTATTTTGAGAAATTACACTTCATAGTAAGATTTTGAAATGGCGGTAAAAATGACATTGAATTTAAAAAATGGGTGCAGTGAAGAAGTATAATAAAGATTTTTTAATAATCCAAATAACTAAATATAATCCTTGCAAATCCACCCTCCAAACATTATATCCTACTAATTAGAAACCTAAATTAACATGTTTTTTGCACTTTGTCCTTCCCCATATCAAACAAAAACTTCGTTTTAATGCTGTAAGTAGTGGTCTTAAATAGTTGGTTAAGAAGAGCACGTACGTTAAGATTTGAGTAGTAAATCCAGATACCAAAATTCATAACAATCAGACTAAATGATCAAGCGTTGTAATAGTATAACTTCAAATGTAGAGGGGTTAGTCTAATTTTTTAAAAACTATTCTGCATCTAAAAACAATAGTAAAAAAACTGTTTGTATCAGGGCAAAGCCCTCAATGTTTCGACTGCCTATAAAGGTCTTT